TTCAGAGCCAGAGCTGTTCATAGACACCATAGCTGCAGAAGATAATGGAGACAGTCCGTTTGCAGACATACTACTGGGACCAAATAAGATAAAACTCACCTTCAAGTTGGACACTGGAGCACAAGCGAACATCATACCAGCCAACACTTTCCAAATGCTACAAACTCCACTCAGGGAGGACAAGGACAAACTGTTTGGCTATGGGGGCCACCCACTCAAAGTCAACGGACACTGAGCATAATAACAAAGACAGATTTCACAGCTGCACTGTTCCCAACTTCTACTGTGTGACTGACAGCCTGGAGTTTGAAATCATCTTCGTAACCATGTTTCATAACAGATGCCATTTATGTCCTTATACACACACAATACGGTAATATTACATTGAAGCAGAGTACGGTTTACTGCGCGAGGCTCCTCGGTAGCCTTAATGCTCCAACAATCCATCAAGCGGTGCAGCTCCGTAGCTTACCAAAGTCGTACTAAAACATTTTTTGACAGATTGCTGAGTGCCATGTTCCACATAAAATCGGTTCGCGGTCATCAAGCACAACCAGAATTCATACAAAAGGTGCACTGTCAAATTTTAAGAGAATGAAAGGATTTTAGGCTGTGCAGCCGCTCTGGGCTGCATGGCGTTAGCGTGGTTAGCTCGTTAATACGTTGACTCTGTACAGGGCGATGCACAGTAACTCGTTAACGGAGATTTGCCGTGTCCATCTTGTCGCTGCCTGCAGGTGAAGCGATGGTGGAGGAGGGGGAGTTGTGTTCAGTTAAGGAGAGAGGCGAGGTTGAGTAACGTTGCGTAGAGACAAAAGTGGACGAAAGAGAGGCAAACTTGTGGCTCCACAACTATAATTATAATGTAACATAGACTATATCGATATAAAGGATATTGTCACATCTTATATCTTGTATAAAAATATATCGATATTTTTAAAAAACTCGATATATCGCCCAGCCCTAACTGAGACTCAGGTAGGCTGTGGTCTGTAAATGATGTCAGTTGGTACTAAGGGACCCACATTGTGCCAACCAAATATCTCCACGCTATTACACCAGCAGCAGGATGGATCCATGCTTTATGTTGTTTAAGACAAATTCTGCCCCTAAAATCTGAATGTTGCAGAGATTGAGACCCATCAGACCAGGCAACATTTTTCAATCTTTTCTTGGCCACTTTTGTTGATCTTGAATGTAAAAGAACCCACCCATCATGTTAATCACACTCTAGAACTTGTTTTAACATATGGCATAGAAACTGAACATTTAACAGTGTTTCCTGTAAACCCACTCTTGTCTTTTGCTAATACAGTGTCTTGCAAACGTAATCGGCCCCCTTGAACTTTCCCACATTTTGTCACATTACAGCCACAAACATGAATCAGTTTTATTGGAATTCCACGTGAAAGACCAACACAAAGTGGTGCACACGTGAGAAGTGGAACGAAAATCATACATGACTCCAAACATTTTTTACAAATAAATAACTGCAAAGTGGGGTGTGCATAATTATTTAGCCCCCTTTGGTCTGAGTGCAGTCAGTTGCACATAGACGTTGCCTGATGAGTGCGAATGACTAAACAGAGTGCACCTGTGTGTAATCTAATGTCAGTACAAATACAGCTGCTCTGTGACGGTCTCAGAGGTTGTCTAAAAGAATATTGGGAGCAACAACACCATGAAGTCCAAAGAACACAACAGACAGGTCAGGGATAAAGTTATTGAGAAATTTAAAGCAGGCTTAGGCTACAAAAAGATTTCCCAAGCCCCTCTGTTGTTTTAGGCCCCTCTGTCTTCCAGCTGGGATTGGTGAGGCAGACACTGTGTCTACTTTTAAGATTAGACTTAAAACTTTCCCTTTTACTAAAACATATAGTTATGACTAGACAGGTGACCCTGAATCTTCCCTTAGTTATGCTGTAATAGGTGTAGGCTGCTGGGTGGTTTCCCATGATGCATTGAGTATTTCTTCCTTAGTCACCTTTCAGTCACCTGTTAAAAGGGAGATTTTCCTTCCCGTTGTCACCAAAGGGATTGTTGGATTGTATGTACTATAGTAGGGCAGGGGTCCCCAACTAAAGTAGCAGGAGGTCCACTACCTCCATGATCCAATAAATCTGGGGTCTGAACAGTTTAAATGAACCAACAGAAATATTTTCTTTCATTTTTATACAACATTTATTTAGCAATATATATTTTTGTCTGGAAACTCCTGATCAATTATTCATTTACCCATTAAATCATCTGCTGAACAGACAATCCACTTCAAGTACTAACTATAAGCAGAATACAATTTAACAATAACATTACTTTTTACCACATCTGTTGCACATGCAACATTAAAGTGTCTTGATGCATGGTCAGTCATCCACGTAAGTAAATCCCAAAATGTTGATTCTATTCATCTGGAGGTAACATTTCGTCACTCATCCAAGTGACTTCTGAAGAAGTACGTGAAAATAGAAGAACCATCTCTGAATCGAGGAGGGGGCCTAAGGGTACATCATTCACCATCTTACAATGCTGGGATTGCAGCCATTCCCCAACTCTCTGTGAATGGTACAGAATCAACTATTTTGGGAGAACATTTAGGTACAAGCAATTTACCACAAAAAGACTAAATATCCAGGAAAATTGAGAAGAATTTTGAGCTGTGCGGTAAACATGTTTGACAAACCTAACACATACATCTATCCATTCCATCCATTCGCTTCCGCTTATCCTTTTCAGGGTCGCGGGGGTGCTGTCATAGGGCGAGAGGCGGGGTACACCCTGGACAGGTCACCAGTCTGTCGCAGGGCCAACACACAGGAACAGACAACCATTCGCACTCACATTCATTCGCACATTCACACCTAGTGACAATTTGGATTATCCAATTAACCTATCCCCACAAGCTGCATGTCTTTGGACGGTGGGAGGAAGCCGGAGTGCCCGGAGGGAACCCACGCAAACACGGGGAGAACATGCAAACTCCACACAGAAAGACCCCGGCCTGATATTGGAATTGAATTCAGGACCTTCTTGCTGTGTGTAACACCCCTTTCAACACTTGGGATACAGATTTAAATGGTTACCTGTGTGTTGGGCCAATACTGTAGCTGAGGTTCGACTACTGGAGCAGAGTGGATGACAAATGAAACGCTCTGAGAACTTGGCTTGATCAATTTGTATTCACAATTAAAGAATCTCACATACAATGAAAACAATAACAGTACATGAAAGGAAAAATTGGGCCCAAGTCATGGAAAATAATAAACAAAACACACACAACCCCGGGGGATTTGACTCAGTCTCTCTCTCGTGTCCGCCGACACCCTTAAGTGTGAGTCCAGCAATGAGGATTCTCCTTGCAGGATGTGCAAAGGAGGAATGAGGTGCAAATCTGTCCTACCACTTAAGTAGAGTTTGTACAGTTCACGGTTCGTCCAAAGAATTTAGTTCTCTTCTTAAAACAATCATCTCAAGGATCCTGGAAGGGTGGCTCGCCATCTTTGGACTGGATCATCACCGAACTGTACTCCCAAGTAAAAAAACCTGACCAAAGTAACCAATAAAATGGGCTCTCCTGGAGCTTCAAAATGGCGATGGTGAAGCGTTGTAGCACAACCAGAAGAATCCGAGCAGTAACAAACTCCTTTCTGGTTAACAACAATTTCCAGATAGTTTATTTCCATAATCTGACTGAATAAAAACAACCACGCTTTCCACTTGGAAAAAACGGACTTTTCTTCCTCTCCCTCTCTCCTGATATCCGTAGCTGCTACGCAGTGAACGGCAGGAGGCGGTACTTCCCCCTGTATACTTCAAGGACCATCAGGACATTATAGACATCTCCTATTTTATTAATTCTCAACAAAATAATTTAACTTAATAAAACTTAACAATGAACTCAAAATACTAACATCACTCATAACACACTAAAACCCTTAGTAACTCTCCAGGGTTACATGTGCGGCAACAGTGCTAACCACCATGCCACCGTGCTGCCTCAAACTTAACACAATGTAACTTAAATCATACTGCAAGACAGAGCTGGCTCTCATTTCAGTGGGAGACAGTTTCATGGACATTTGCAGCTAGAATTTTAAACTTTGGGTGAAATGGGGTCAGTGCAACTCTTACGCATGCATGCAAATGTTCATTGGTCAGCTGTGAGCAATTCATCTTTCATCTTTAAATTGCAGATTTTCGCTTCAGGAAGCACACAGCCCCACTCCACTGACAACTTGCTGTTGGCCAACACCCTCAAACAGCCTTGACACCTCCACCTTCCCCAACAATAGAGACACTTTGGGCCATCATTCCCCCACCAACCCACTCCCACCAGTTAGTGATGCAGCAGCAATTAGACAGGCTACAACAATTAAGGGCATAAAATGCAAGAATGTAAAACATAAAATCAGTCTCTATGCGGATGATTCTTGCTTTTCCTCCAAAACTCACAAACCAACCTTTCTGAGGTAATTACTCTAATAAACTGGTTTTCAAGAGTTTCAAATTATTCAATTAACTGGTAAAAATCTACAGTTCTTCCAATTAACTGCTCCTTCCATAATTCTTCTTCCCCCGGCCTACTACAATCTGGAAATATTAAATATTGAGGTATTAATGTCTCTGCCTAATTTTCAACAATATTTCTCAGCCAACAGGCTTCAGTTCATCTCAGGATGGTTAAAACGTACCTTCTTAGATGAGCCCTGGCTAGATGTTGAACAGGCACTATGCAATAATCTAGAGATTTCAGACCTACCATTTATCAGCTCAAACATCATCCCTGGAGTTATCCCTGGAGGGCTTAACCCAGGGGTTGTGGTCATAACCTGGTTAGTGGCTCTGGTTCGTCTTAGAGGGAGTTCTCCTTGTGGCTGCGTGCAGCAGGGCTGGGGGAGGGTCTGTGCTAGCGGACCTAGGTTACTGGCCTGGTAGCCTGGCTGCCCTGAGTGGATCCGGGGCAGGCGTGGGGGCTTGGGGTTTGGGGGTGCTTCGCCTCCATGCTAGGGCTCTGGCTGGGCCTTGGGGGCTTCGGTCCTTGTTGGTGTGTTGCCGAGGTTGTGGGCGGGTGGGTGCACGGGGCTCAGCCCTGGCACAGGGGGCCTCTGGTGCATCGGCCTAACTAAAGGGCTCTTCAACTGGCAGGGAGGTTCTTCCATCCTTGCAGGAGTCCACTCTGCAGGTGGGGGAGAGACATAGGAGAGGTGGAGAATAAACTTAACCCGGGTGTCTATTATCTTGTGTAGTCTGGGAGATGATTGAATGTCGGGGTGGGTACAGTTTCCTCTGCGGTGGGGTCGGGTGGGCTGCCCCGGGTCCTGAGGGGCTGGGCGGTGCTGCTGCCGTAGGCCCCGGCCTGGGCTCCCTTGCCTTGGTGGGTGCAGGAGGACGGGGGTGCCTACTGGGGTCAGCGGGGGAGCTGGCCCTAGGGAGGGGCATAAACACAATCTATTTGTCGTTTCAGGTTGTAGTGTTACACAACATTTTCAGATCTAATAGAAATAAAATAAGTGTTTCGTAATTCATTCAATTTATTGTCTTTATTTATAACTGGCATTATTGTTTCATTCTATTATAGAATCTTACAAGAAAGAGGCAAAATTGTATTCCATCATGCTTTATTAGCTGCTTCGGTGAAAAACAAATCAACAATGCAAAAAATAAATAAAAATAAAGTGTCGGCAGTATAAAAGAGTGTAGAGTAGTTTATGTTTATGGTGTGGGAAATGAGTTAAAAAGCAGAGTGGATTTGGGGACGAAGGTGGCTCTCCTCCTCTCAGTCCTGCAGGAAATGCAGCGGAGGCGTCGCTCAGAGGGGAGCCACTGAAATGCTGGGTGAAGAATGTGAGACATCAACAATTATGTTATGATAAATTACGTAATAACTACAACAGAAGACTGACCTTTGTGGGAATGCTTGGAGCAGACTAACATGTGAGCTGGAGTGTTCTGGGACGTAATCCGATAAAAACCGATCTCTTTACCCGCCGGCTTCCTGTGGCTGTCATGTGACCGGCTATTGCACTTAATAATAAAACAGCTTCTTGACATTTTTTGTGTTTCTTTTTATTGCTGTGTGACTGTTTTCATGTGAAAGCCTGCATGCGCTAGTACCGCTTGCCACTCGTACCCACAATCCTTTGCGGTTTTACCCCGGAATGACGTCACATTTTCAATCATTTTCAATTTGTCAGAAAGGACCTTTTCTGTTAGGACTGATAGGTTCTCCTCTAACACTGCTGCCCTAACCTGCGGGGTTCCACAGGGTTCAGTTTTGGGTCCATTAGTATTTTCTTTTACATGCTTCCTTTAGCTGCATTATTCAGTCTTTTAGTGACCTGTCTTATCATTTCTATGCTGATGACATTCAGCTGTATATGTCCTTTAAGCCTAATCAGCTGGATACGCTGTCCATCCTAGTCCAGTGCTCAACCCAGGTTTCTGATTGGCTTTCTAACAATTACATTGTTTTAAACATGAACAAGACAGAGACCATGATCATACCATCTCCTGATCTATATTCTAAAATCAGTCAGGTTCTTGCCCCTTTCTGTTTTTCTGCTGAGCCAAATATTTGAAATCTTGGAGTAATATTTGACTCCTCTTTGGGCCTTGACTCACACGTAAAGTCTCTGTCTCGTTCCTGTTTCTTTCATTTAAGGAATATTTCTAAACTGTGACATATGGTCTCCTTAGCTGAACTGGAAAAAATTGTCCATGCATTTGTGTCATTGCGTTTAGACTAGAGATGGACCTATCCGATATCATGTATCGGTATCGGTCCGATACTGACCTAAATTACTGGATCAGATATCGGAGAAAAATAAAAAATGTAATCCGATCCATTAAATATCACGAAAGCACCTCACAAAACTTGCAACACGCCGTAACTCACCTCAGAACGTTAGCATGTCGGAGCAGTATGCATCACGTGATAGAGCAGCTGTGGCATGCGGGACCTGTGGTGGTCTGGATAGCATTTGGAGCTTCGCTAGCAACCTGGCATTTCATCTCCGACAAAGTTATCCCCGAGAGAAGTAAAGCAAGTGTGTAAGTCCATCTTTGAATGTTTGTAAAGCATTCCTGCGTTAAGCTTAACAAGCGACTGCCTCTTCTTGCTGCTACTTCAATCATGAAACTGCTTAATGATCAGCTGATCGGCTTTTCTGTCGTGAGTCCGTCTCTCTTCTTTGTTTTTGGCCCACTTTGCACCAGAAAGAGGAAACCAGCGGCTGAACAACAGCAGCACGTTTAAGCTTGATAAGCTGTTGTTAGAATTTATTTAATATAACTTTCTACACCAGGATCTTTTTCTACGCAGCTGACGGCTGTAACTGTGCAGGGGCGGATCTAGCAAAGTTTAGCCAGGGGGGCCGATGGGGCATGAACAGGGAAAAGGGGGCACAAAGACATACTTTTCTTTCTTATTCTCATTTAAAATGTCGAGCTTTTAATAAATAATTATCTGAATCTGACACCCAAAGTTTTAATTTGATGTAAAATGTATAGAAGTCCATTACTGTATATAGTAACTGCTAAGTCTAATATACCCTAGTAAGCTGTAGTACATTTTCCTTTGGGAAGGTACCATCTGTGCAGTCTGCAATTTTGTTGAAGAAAGATGTTGAATCTATTTAATATTTCTTGAAAAATAATTGATTTCTGTGCATTTTTTTCACACTGCATCAAATTAAGGTTGATTACGTTGATTAAGCATCATGAGGTGGAGCGTGAGGGGTGGTTCCCTATTTTTTATTTATTTATTTTTGTTGTTGCTGGGAGTTGGAACCCTATTAGTTGGGTTGCTTAATATTTACGCTAAGTACTCTTTAAAATACCAGAATAGGGAGGATGGTGTAGGTTTAAGTTTATTAGATTGATCAGTATTGCTGAACTATGAAATATTTTTTTTTGCATACAGGTATAACAGAATAGGTTTAGTGTAGCTGTTGTTTTAAACTTGAGTATGAACTTATACAAAATGCAGCAAGATATTTAAAAAAACAGTTTTGTTGATTAAAAAACACAATATCGGATTCATATCGGTATCGGCAGATATCCAAATTTATGATATCGGTATCGGTATCGGACATAAAAAAAGTGGTATCGTGCCATCTCTAGTTTAGACTATTGTAATTCCCTGTTTACCAGCTTGGATAAATCATCTCTGTACAAAATGCAGCAGCCAGACTACTAACTCGCTCTTGCAAGCGAGCTCACATCACTCCTATTTTATGTTCTTTACATTGGCTCCAATAGATTTTAGAATTCCCTTTAAAATTATTGTTTTAACGTACAGAGCAGTACATGGCCAGGCACCAGATTATTTATCCAAGCTTCTCACAAAATACACTGCTGCTCGTTGTCTCCGCGCACAGGCTCAGAGTTTGTTGGTTGCTCCCCGAACATGACTGAAGATGAAAGGGGGCGGAGCCTTTCAGTCTGTGGCACCAACGCTGTGGAACAGTCTACCTCCACAACTACGTTTGGTTGACTCTGTGGAATCCTTTGAAAAGCAGTTAAAAACTTTACTGTTTAAACAAGCTTTCTGTTGACCAATGCTTTTTACATTTTTAATTTACATTTAACCTCTATATTGTGTATATAATTTGCTATTTATCGGACTGTTTAATTTAATCTTTGTGTACAGCGCTTTGTGACTACCTGTCTATGAAAAGCACTTAATAAATAAACTTTACTTCCTGTGAGAATGAGTCCTCCACCATAGTCATCCACTAATTGTCCTTTGCACTTCTCCCTGTACTCCAGGGTGGGCAACTCCAGGCCTCGAGGGCCGGTGTCCTGCAGGTTTTACATCTCACCCTGGGTCAACACACCTGAATCAAATGATTCAAGGTTCAAGGTTCAAGGTGCTTTATTTGTCACATGCATAGTTATACAAGTATAACATACAGTGAAATGTAGCCTGACACGCTACTTGACGTGCAAAAATTGGGGGGGGTGTAGAGGAAGAACATTATATATATATATACATACATATAGTATATACACTGGGCGAATGTGCAGTAGTAGCAGCAAGCAGGTGAATTCTGTACATTAATATGAATAGACATCTGACTATTTTACAGGATAGACAATATAAACATATTTAAAGTTAAAGGAATTGAAATGTACATTGTGCCTTGGTTTAGAGTGTCTGGAAGAGAGTCCTGTCTCAGTCAATTATAGATGATGTGAGCGGGCGGGTGTGTGTGTTTAGGGCACGGATGGCTTGGGGATAGAAGCTCCTCTTGAGTCTCCCTGTCCTTGCCCGGAAGATGCGGAACCTTCTACCAGATTGCAGAAGTTGGAACAGTTTGTTGCCAGGATGGGACGGGTCCTTCAGTATCTGCGCTGCTCTAGTCCGGCATCTCCTGGTGTAGGTGTCCTGAAGCTGGGGGAGAGCAATCCTGCAGCAGCGTTCTGCTGTACGGATCACTCTCTGGAGAGCTTTTTGGTCCTTGACACAGCTCCAGGCCTCTGGAGAACTACAAAATACATTGAGGAAGTAATTTAGCCATTTGAATCAGCTGTGTTGGATCAAGGACAAATCTCCAATCTGCAGGACACCAGCCCTCGAGGCCTGGAGTTGCCCACCCCTGCTGTACACCAACTGCTGCACCTCCAACCAGCAGTCTGTCAAGCTAGTGAAATTTGCAGATGACACCACTGTTATCGACTCATCTCGGACAGGGATGAGTCTGCCTACAGGATGGAGGTTGAACGTCTGGTGTCCTGGTGCAGCCGCAACAACCTGGTGCTAAACAATGACAGTGGAAATTATTGTGGACTTCAGGAAGCACACAGCCCCCACATCATCCTGACTGACACCCTCATCACCACTGTGGACTCATTCCACTTCCTGGATACCACCATCACCCAGGATCTGAAGTGGGAGCCCACCATCACCTCTGTCATTAAGAAAGCCCAGCAGAGGATGTACTTCCTGAGGCAGCTGAAGAAATTCAACCTGCCAACACGGACGATGATGCAATTCTACACTGCAATCATCGAGTCCATCCTCACCTCCTCCATCACCGTGTGGTACGCTGGAGTCGCCACCTCTTACAAACAGAGACTGCAGTGTTTTGTGCGCTCTGCTGAGAAGGTGATTGGCTGCAGACTCCCATCTCTGCAGGACCTGTACACCTCCAGGCACTGGGGCATGCAGCTCGGATCTCAGCTGACCTTTCTCACCCTGGACACAGTCTGTTTGACCTGCTCCCCTCAGGCAGGAGGCTCCGGTCCATTCACACCAGAACCTCTTGCCATAAGAACAGTTTCTTCCCCTCTGCTGTTGGACACATGAACAATAACCGTATGACTGTTCCCACCACTAACACATGACCCTACGCTGTGTTCACTGCATCGGTTCCATGCACTGATCATCACCTGCATTCATGTATATTTCAATCTGCTTATCACTTTTTTAAATGTTTATTTTTATTTATTTATTTTACAGGCTGCATCACGCCTGTTCAAGAGTTGCCCACAGATGGCAGGAATAAAATCTCCGCAAAAATTTTCTGGCACAACTTCACCTGTTTCCAAGGTGCATGGAGAGGATGAACGAATTCACAAAGCAGGAACTCCAGCAACACTTGAGGGAAGATGAACAACTTGAATAATTGACCAACGCGTTTCGGCTTGTGGCCTTCATCAGGGTCATAGTAAAACATTGTAAAAATTGCTGAAATACAAGACAGGAAACAGAAAAAAATTTCAAATTAACCAGTCAAAACTTCATAGATAGGTCAGCTGACATATAATAGGTAGGTATTGGTTAATTGGCTCACGCCCAAGTAAATACCGGACTAGATCATTACTGATGAGGAGGAGGGGGGTCACATAACCCCCATATGTCTGAAAATAACACATGCATGAAATGCATAAGGAGGATGCTATAAATATACACATGGGTTTAAAAAAAAGGGGGGGGGGGGTCTTTAATGGTAAAAGCACATTTGAATTAGAAAACAAGACTACAGGAAGGAATTAAATCTCCAACTACATACTAAATGAAAAAATGTTTGGCTGCCCAGACAAAAACCCTCTTGGGGTCCAGATTTGGACCAGAGTCAGGGGATTGGGGATCCCTGTTGTAGGGTCTACCTTACCATGTAAAGTACTTGAAGGAGACTGTTGTTATGATTGAAATAAAACCCAACTGAAAAACTAAACACACTAACACTTTGTCACAAATTCAGCAGAGAGAAGTCCCTCGCTGTGCACACAGAGCCGAGAAAAGAGACGCTCATGTCTGTTCATTTCTGCTCTGTTTGATGAAAACTGTGTTACTGAGGAACAATGAGAGGACTCGCCTCTGAACACTCAGCGTGAGGAGTTGACACTGCAATAACAATCACACATCAACATACAGAAGATTGTTTCAGTGTTAGGTTTAGTGAAATTTGAGGTTAATGGTGTGCCTCAGACTTTGTAATTCCTGTGTGTATGACTTATTTAAACATTCTCCTAAATGCAAAACAACGTATACCTTTTAAGACTAAATAAATCTGAAAGCTTTTCCATCCTAAAAGAGTACAGCAATGTGTAGTTTATGATGTTCTAAAGGTTTCAGCAACTTTTTGAATTTGTCACATGTGTGGAAAGGTATGAGTGAGTCTTTGTGTCGTACTGTGAGTGATGCTCGTCAGCACACAAACCCAGAGTTTCTCTACAGGAACACAGAGAGAGTTATTCCCTGTACTGTAAGGACACATTCAGCATTGTGCAGTAAATCCAGATCACCGAGTTAAATGATTACATGGATGTGAGTGTGATCGTCAGAGCAGCACTGATCAGTGTCAGGTTATAATGACCAAGGTGTACACAAACACTAAGTTTGATATTAAAATGTGTGAAGTGTAAATTCAGCCAAAGCCTTTAACTGGGCTGTGAAAAAATACAAAATAACAGTATTTAATGCTGAGGTGGTGTCAGCTGTATAATATAATTCTGCATCCATCCTAGTAAGAAGGAAAGGAACCACTGTATGTGTTTGTTCTTCACATGCCATTAACTGAGAATGAAGTCATTTGGATGAGTTTTTCTTGTATTTTGTTCATCTCACATCTCTTATTCGCTTCCATATGAGGGGTTAGTGATGCCCAAATTTGTCGATGGGGTGAAGCAGGGCAGGCAATGAACGGCTGGCATCTGACAATGTTAGTACCACATGATCTGCATATAAAGTTATGATGGGTTTCACAGTTACTAATTGCAACGGCTAGTGGCTCCATAGCTAAAGCAAAGTGCAGGGGGGACCGCAGACCCAAATGTAAATGGAGTCGTTTTCCATATGAGTGTAGCAATAGCTCTGGCCTTGGATGTGAAAGGGGAAGTCTTGCAGACTTTATGAAAAATTCCACGACACCTTCATGATGGAAAATGGCTGAAAATAAAAATGGCTTTCATTTTAGCCAGCTTCCCATCTTACAAACAGTCTCCACTGAAATGCAGGAGCTTCTCTTTTATATCCCCCACACTCAACTCTCTGCATCAGGAAGCTCCTGGCACTGGTCACCCTGGGAGTTTCGTCCTTCTACGCCCCAACAATTAGCAGATAACATAGTGAAGCATCGCCAAGCAGTTTTGACAAGGTCATGCTGACACAAAATTTGACTCTGACTTTAAACACTGGTCACTTCAGGTGTTGCTCTGATATACAGAAAATGACATCACGGCTCAAACTCTTTGTCAGTAAACCATTTCTTTATTTAACATATAAAATTTTGGTTTAATTGTTGCAGGATTTCATTACACAAACAAGCTGAAAAAAAAACTGCAGAACACATGGATCAATGCATTCAATAAAAATATAACAGGAAACAGATTTCTTAATCAAACTGCTGGAACAAAGCTAACCACTCAACACAAACACTACAGTAGAACAGTTTAGAAAGCTTAAAATGTAACGAGAGGCACATTTTCATAGGTGCCTAATCAGATCTTTACAGAAGACTCCACCTGAACTCTGTGGAGCCTGATCTCAAAGATTTAAGTCTGACCCTGAAACCAGAAGAGGATCTTTCTGTCTCTGCAAGGCAAGGCAAGGCAAGGCAAATTTATTTGTATAGCACAATTCAACAACAAGGTGATTCAAAGTGCTTTACAGAGACATTAGAAACAAAAACAAATAAAAAGCATGATTTAAAATGGATTAAAACAAGCAAACAAACAAACTAAGTAAACACACACATTTCACACCTGTTCGCGCGATCTGAACCCTTATCTTAAGGGGAGCTACCAGTCCTTCTGTGGACGAGCTACTTTCTATTTTAAATTCCCTGAATTTAAAATACTCTGTAGACCCAGTCTAGACCCAGTTGGGGAGCTACCCAGAGCTCTAAACCCACTTAACAAACAAACAAAACAAACAAAACAGTATATAAAATCAAAACAGATAAAATCAGAAATAGATAAGATCAGTAGTTAGTGTAAGTTTTGAAATTTAAGCTTAAAAGTGTGGATTTGGTGCTTTATTCAAATGCAGCTGAGAACAGGTGAGTCTTCAACCTGGATTTAAATAAACTGAGTGTTTCAGCTGATCTGAGGCTTTCTGGGAGTTTGTTCCAGATATAAGGAGCATAAAAGCTGAATGCAGCTTCTCCGTGTCTGGTTCTGACTCTGGGAACTGATAAAAGACCGGATCCAGATGACCTGAGGGATCTGGAAGGTTCATACTGGGTCAGGAGGTCACTGACCCAGTATGCAGATTCACTGTGATCCAGAGATGGTAATGATTTCAGTCCTGCATCACGCTGATGTTTGCACAGAGGAGATAATTTAGTAAATGTTTTTGAACATTGGTAACAGTAAAACAGTTCCTTCATAATCATTATGCAAATTTTTACTCTGTGAATGGTACTCATGGCCATTGACCAGTGGTTGTTGATCAATGGTCATAAGAATTTGCATATTAATGATGAAGAAACTGACCTCACAGCCCATTGTTCACTCATTGGGCCGGTTTCATTCGTTATGCAAATGTACTGTTTACAAGATTAACTTAAAAGCGGGAATCAAGACGTAACAGTTTATTTGTAACATGGAATCGTTTGTGAGTGGAGTATGAACTGAGATTACTCAAACTCTTTCACAGATGAAGTTCTCTTTAATGGGTCTGCGCTCATGCTTAGTATGATCACATGATTGGGAAAAGGTTTTGTCACAGTGTCTGCACTTGTATGGTTTCTCTCAAGTGTGGACTCGTTTATGCTTTTCAAGCTGATGTGCACTGATGAAGGATGACCCACACTGATCGCAGACATGCTTTTTAACCCCACTGTGAATGAGTTCATATTGTTTGAAGTGTTTTGAAGTGGTGAAGCCTCTCCTGCATTGTTTACAGTAGTTCATTTCGTCTCCAGTGTGTCTACGTTGATGTATTTTCAGAGTCCTTCAATGACTTCATGTTTTTCCACAAAGGTCACAACAAAAGTCTTTCCCACAGCGATTACAGGGTTGAGAAATTGATCCATTTGTGTCGCTCTGCTTCTAAACAAAAACACAAAGACAGTAAGTCAGTCCTTCAACATTTTTATCCTGAACGTCGCCTGAAATAAAGAGCATCTCTGCCAAAGTCCAATTACATTTTACTGTTTACATTATCACACTCAGCTCAATTTAATGTGCTATAAAAACGATAAGAGTAAAAACATTAAATCAATACTAGTTTAATGCTACAATAACAGTAATACAATTCTCAAACACTATCCCTAAAAACCTGTGATCAGAGTCTGAATAATCATTCAGAGCTGCCTTTCCATGCAGTAGAATTGCTAACATGCTAACACAATTTGATGAGCAGAGTTGTTTCAAACAGTCGGGCTGACAAGATAAACATAAAAATACATACCTCACAGTAACTGCACTTGTAGAGTCTTTCTGGTGTGGATCTGTTGGTGTCGTCTCAGAGAATGTGGAGATTTAAAAGTCTTCTCACACAGGTCACATTTATAAGGGCTCTCCTCAGAGTGGGTAAACATGTGACATCGTAACTCTGTGTTTGTAGCAAAGTGTTTGCCACACTGATCACAACTGTACACATCATGTCTGGTGTGAATGCGTAGGTGTGTATTTCGCCTCCCTATCCGGCTGAAAGTTTTTCCACAAATGTCACAGCTGTATGCCTTAATTCCAGAGTGGGTAACTAGATGACTCCGTAAGCTGCTACTGTGAGTAAAAGCTCTGCCACACTGATCACAGCTGTACGCTTTAAGTCCACTGTGGATGAGTTGGTGTGTTTTTAAGTTTCCGGGGTGGGTAAAAGACTTTCCACACTCGTCACAGCTGAATGGTTTCTCTCCACTGTGGATCAGTTGGTGTGTTTTTAAGCTTCCAGACTTGGTAAAAGACTTTCCACACTCATCACAGCTGAACGGTCTCTCTCCAGTGTGGATCAGTTGGTGTGTTTTTAAGCTTCCAGACTGGGTAAAAGACTTTCCACACTCATCACAGCTGAACGGTCTCTCTCCAGTGTGGATCAGTTGGTGTGTTTTTAAGCTTCCAGATTGGGTAAAAGACTTTCCACACTCATCACAGCTGAATGGTCTCTCTCCAGTGTGGATCAGTTGGTGTGTTTTTAAGCTTTCAGATTTGGTAAAAGACTTTCCACAGTCGTCACAGCTGAACGGTCTCTCTCCAGTGTGGATCAGTTGGTGTGTTTTTAAGTTTCCAGAGTGGGTAAAAGACTTTCCACACTCATCACAGCTGAATGGTCTCTCTCCAGTGTGGATGAGTTGGTGTTTTTTTAAGCTTCCAGATAAGGTGAAAGACTTTCCACACTCATCACAGCTGAACAGTCTCTCTCCACTGTGGATCTGTTGGTGTGCTTTCAGAGAATGTGGAGATTTAAAAGTCTTCTCACACAGGTCACATTTATAAGGTCTCTCCTCAGAGTGGGTAAACATGTGACATCGTAACTTTCTGTTTGTAGCAAACTGTTTGCCACACTGCTCACAGCTGTACACATCATGTCTGGTGTGAATGCGTAGGTGAATATTTCTGTACCCTACATGGCTGAAAGTTTTTCCACAAAAGTCACAGCTGTATGCCTTAATTCCAGAGTGGATAACTAGATGACTCCGTAAGCTGCTACTGCGAGTAAAAGCTCTGCCACACTGATCACAGCTGTACGCTTTAAGTCCACTGTGAATGAGATGGTGACTTTTTAGGGCTTTCTTCCAGGAAAAAGACTTTCCACACAAGTCACAGCTGAACGGTCTCTCTCCAGTGTGGATGACCTGATGGATTTGTAGTGAATCCTTCTTAAGAAAATCCTTCCCACACTCTTCACAGCTGTACGCTTTAACTCCACCGTGGATCAGTTGGTGTGTTTTTAAGCTTCCAGACTGGGTAAAAGACTTTCCACACTCATCACAGCTGAATGGTCTCTCTCCAGTGTGGATCAGTTGGTGTTTTTTTAAGTTTCCAGAGTGGGTAAAAGACTTCCCACAGTCTCCACAGCTGAACGGTCTCTCTCCAGTGTGGATCAGTTGGTGTGTTTCTAAGCTTCCAGACTTGGTAAAAGACTTTCCACAGTCTCCACAGCTGAATGGTCTCTCTCCACTGTGGATGAGTTTGTGTGTTTTTAAGTGTCCAGACTGCGTATAAGATTTTCCACACTCGTTACAGCTGAACGGTCTCTCTCCAGTGTGGATGACCTGATGCATTTTTAGGGAAGCTTTCACAGTAAAATCTTTCCCAAACTTGTCACAGTTGTATTTTTTTCTTCCACTTCTTTCTTCAACGAATTTGTCGGGCTCCTGAGAGCGCTGACTTCTCAATCCACGTTGGTCCTGCAGTGACAGAGATACAAACAGAGGCAGTGAGTTGTGGGAAATACATTATTCTAACCGGCCTTTTATTAGTGGTATTTTGTGACCTTTTATTAAATAAGTAGTTACACTTATTTTCATACACACATTGCAAATGTGCTCATGAGAGTTGGCATTCAGTCTTTTGAGGGTCAATGCAAACACACTTACAGACAGATAAATATTAGACTTGTTTCTAGGGCAAAGGTGAGAGACATTTGGCCTGCAAAGTGCCTGTACGCCTGCTCAGTGAGATTAGCACAGGATGTCACAGGAGAAAAAAAAGCAGGAAACACAGAAGCTGCGTCCCAAAACGTCGGCTGCATCCTTCGGAGGACCCCGGCCTTCGCGGTCTACGTGGGCCGGGTCCTTCAAAGACCGAGAAGGCCGGAAGTGCGAGGTTGCGAAATGGGATAGTCTAGCCTTCAAATTTGCGTCACCGCTGTCTTGGTGGAGTTTAATAAACTCGGCCGTCTGCTCCTTGCTATCTAAAATATAACAGGACACTGGCATAAATTCTCGACCGTCTCACACTTCTGTTTAATCAGTTTTCTGTTTAACGTTTATTCAGCTGTGTGAAAATCCCGGAGGAACCCACCCGATGGATTAATAAAGTTTTATTTACTCTAATAATCTAATAACTTTGATCTCAGCCAAACCGATTTACTCTGGAACAAATAAAACAATGAAAAAAGGCAAACAATTACATTTTTAAGTTGTCCAAGTGACTTATATATCATGTTTAACTTGAGTAGCGAAAAAGCGGGGGTCTGAAAACGATGAAGCCAGGAGTCCGCTGCTCTCGCCGGCTGAAGTGACCATTGAACCCCCGGCTTGCTATCGAGCTGGTGGGTAACAGACGTCTCCAAAAACGTTGGCACATTTTTGCAAATATGCGATGTCTTGATAAACCGAGCAGATATTTGTATTTTAGACAGCTACAATCTCGCCTGAAAATATGTTAAAAGTTGAGTAATAAGAGTAATAAGACTAATTTTAAAACTTAGCAGCGGCCGCCATTGTTGGCAGCTGAAATTTGGCTGTCCCGCGCTATGAATTCTGGGATATGGTGGGCCACGAAGGACACACCCGACACATCCTTCAAATTCGGGGAAATGAAGGACGCATTTGTCGGCCGCATTTGAAGGAGTCGACGAATTGGGACGGCCTTCGTCGCCTGGCTGTGACGTAATCGGCCTTCAAATGCGGCCTCCGGAGGATGCAGCCGACGTTTTGTGACACATCTATAGTGTGAGACGGTGAGGAAGTGTTATACAAGTCAAGAGAGTTAAAAAAGGAAATGTGTCTAACTGTTTCTAACTGTAACTGACGCATATTATGTCTGCTTACGTATTGTGACGCTGGACTTTAATATACAAAAGTAGTGTGATGTGTGCTTCCTAGTTAAGACCTCTGTAAGTGAGTGACGCTGCAGACCTCTCCCGCGTACGTGTAATCAATAAATCATTGTTTGACTGGACTTCTCTGGAGTGTTGGTTGTTTTTTCTCGAACTCAAATAAAAGGATTGGGACAGTGTGAAATGCAGTCGTGAAACAAACTGAACCTTCAAACTCCCTCCATTAACACTAGTTGTAAACCCGAGGCTGGTAGTGATGTGAAGTTCATGAACAAGTTTGCTCTAAGAGTCCATTCTTTGTAGTGAACGAGACAAACTGGCTTCTGTCACGAGAAGATAAATAACCCCCCCTTACCCCACCCGTTTCAACATATCTACATGCATTTGTGTGTGTGTGTGTGTGTGTATATATATATATATACACACACACACACACACACACACACACACACACACACACACACACATATATATATACACACACATACGTACATACATGTACACTTTTTTTTATGCGGGCACAGGAAGATGCGGTTGCTGAACTTGGACACAGCTAGGTACAGCAAGCTGCTTCTTCTTCTTCTGGGTTTTATGGCAGCTGGCATCCTTGTACATGCAGTGCTGCCATCTTCTGTTTCAGTCCGTTATTACAATCTTTAAACCTACTGCTTATTCCTGCGTCTTTTGGGATCTTAAATAGCTTCAAACGACGTATCGACTATTAAATTAGTCGTTGACGATTTTGATTGTTGACGTAATCGTGACTAGTTGACTAATCGTGGCAGCCCTAATATATATATATCAATATTTTTCAATACACGTGTCCATATTTATGTCTCCAGATTGTTTGTATAGTGAGCCTTTAAGACTGTACTCTTGGAACAGTTTTTATTTTTGCTGCTTTTGTCTTACACTGTCAAATAAACACAGATTTGCAGCGTTTGTGTCATGGTCCTGGGTCGTTGACCCAGCGTTTTGTGTTTATTCTGATTTGTTTAGGGGTTAACCTGAAGTTTGGTGTATTGTCAGCCCTACCTGTGTCTGTCCTTGGTGCTCTGTTCATGTCCCCGTGTAGTGTTGTAAATCAGTCTGTGTTTCCTGTTTTACTTTGAAGGCTCGTGTTCTGGATTTCCTGTTCCATTCTGAAGGTCTGTATCTGTGTCATTGTGTTCAGCTTGTGTCCTCCAGTCATTATGTGTATTCAGATCAGCTGTTCTTCCCTCCTGTGTGCGATCACCCGATTACCGTGTGTGTGTATATATAGTGGGTGTCGGTCTGTGTTTGTTGTCGGCTCGTCTGCGTTTGTTGTCGGCTCGTCTGCGTTCATCCATGTATCACTGCGTTATCTGCGGTCCTCCGTGTATCTCTGCATTCCTCTGTATCTCTGCATTCATCTGCGTTCTATGGTGTTTCGTTCCACCTCTGTGAATAAACGTCACTCATATCATCAGTTTGCTGCATCTTGGGTCCTCCTTTTCCTCCACACCACACGGCTCCCTCCGCCAGCCGTGACAGTTTGTATGTGTGTGCAAAAGGAAATCTGCCAGGCCTCAAAGACAATGGGTGGTTTGCACAACAAAAGCAGGATGTGAATCGAGCATATGACCCGTACAAATCTCAGCAGGGGTGATTAACGCACCAGAAAATAAAAAAGTCAGTGATTCTAGTAGGTGTTGGTTTCAAGGGATTTCTGCAAATTTGCGCAGGGTTAGTAAATGTAGTGTTGAAGTTAGCTCGGTGCTTACCTTTAGATGAGCCCACAAACCGAGAGAAACTCCGTGATGAAGCTGGAACTCTTTCCAAACACAGGAAACAGGTCAGGGAGCAGAGACCCACGTGGTTCACGCTGATCTCAGCTACGATCCAGGAGACAAGGTTGGGCGGATCGATGCAGATATTTATCCAGATGTTGGTAGTGGTTGTTGATCGATACGTTAGTTTGTTTCTCTCCTGTAGATTTACTTCTTTAATCGCTGTGGATGAAAAAGCAGCTCTGTCTGTGTGAGCACCTCTTCTTATGCGGCAGACGCACTTTGCTCCGCCCCCTTCTTCCTGCCCTGCTGGGATTTGTTACTGTGCCGTCACGTGACTCAGATGCGCTCAGAAGACGCATTTGGACTGCAGAGAGTGAGAAAGAGGAGCAACATGTGGAGATATTTTCTGACTGTAAATGAAAATGCTGGAGAACAGATGGAAGGCGTGTCAAGCCACAGGGGACCACAACAAGCTGTAGAGTTCAGCTTATTTTTTCACACCTCAGTTAAATGCTTTGACTGAAGTCTCACTGCACACACTCAAACTTAGTGTTTGTGTACACCTTGGTCCTTATAACCTGACACTGATCAGTGCTGCTCTGACGATCACACTCACATCCATGTAATCATTTAACTGGGGTGATCTGGATTTACTGCACAATGCTGAATGTGTCCTTACAGTACAGGGAATAACTCTCTCTGTGTTCCTGTAGAGAAACTCTGGGTTTGTGTGCTGATGAGCATCACTCACAGTAAGATACAAAGGCTCACTCATACCTTTCCACACGTGACAAATTCAAAAAGATGCTGAAACCTTTAGAACATCATAAACTACACATTGTTGTCCTCTTTTAGGATGGAAAAGCTTTCAGATTTATTTACTCTTAAAAGGATAAAATATGTTTTTAAGAATTTTGCATTCAAGACGAGAATGTTTAAATAAGTCATGTAAATGAGAATTTCAAAGTTGGTGGCTGCAGTATATACAAATTGGTGTATCTCAAAAATAAAACTATGAAGACACTCAAAATTAATTTGGAAACTGTTTTATGCAACTTTTTTACATTTCCAATTTTGAGGGAT